GTGGGATGTACTCTTACACTCCCCCTCAAGTGGACAACCGGGCCATTTTGAATCTAACCGGTTGACCACTTGCAAATGAACTCCCATTCCCTTGACTTTTTTTTTGAGCGCCAACACCTAAATGACCACGAGCCGCTGGGTATGGACTTTCAAACGAGCAATCGTGTTAAACAGGCCACAGGCCGTTGGGTACAACCTCCATACGAACAACTGGGCTAAAGACTAACGGGCCGCTAGGAATGAACGTCTAGACGGACACCTTGACAAACGAGGTGGGCTAAAACTGGCTTTGATACCATGATAGAATTTAGGATGGGATACGGATAGCTGGATTCGGTAATAAGACACTTGGGTTGAACCACTTTAAAAGATTGAATCCAATCAATTAGTTAGTTCAACTCTAGAGCTTATATACCGATTATTTTACTCTTAGATTTCCGATGTGGGATGTACTCTTACAAATGTAAGTCCTATTTTGGGAAAAAAACATGGAAATCTTATTTTGGTATATTTTCAATGTTTTAGTCCTACTTTGGTCTTTCTTCCAAATCAGTATGGGAATAAGGTTCTCTCCCTCTATTTTTTTCGGTTTGAGCAAAATCTCTCCACCCAAATTTACTTCAATTTGGAGTTTTTGTTCTTCCTCTCCGGTCCCACGTTCGGCGCCAAAATGATTATGTAAATTATCGACCGGTATATCATTCTTAGTCGGACAAAAACAATAAATTAGTCTAAAAATACACTAAAATATGAAAACAAGGATTTTGACGTGGAGACCCAAATCGCGATAAAACCACAGGCCTTTTTTGGCAGTACCTTGCAAACGGGGGATTTTTAATAATATCAGAGGTTGTACACGGTATATAATTTAGGCGTAGAAGCATAGTTTTAAAAACCGGACCGGACCGGCCGGTTCGGACCGTGAACCGGCGAACCGGTGGTCCAACCGGTCCGGTCCTTTGGACCATTACCTGCATTGAACCAGTGTGAACCGGTCCGAACCGGTGCGAATTGGCCGGTCGAACTGGTCCGGAATTTTAATTTTTTTTTTTTGCAAATTTTTGCATTTTTCTCCAAAAACCTACACCATGGGGGCTTGAACTCAAGATCTTTTAGACAATTATAGTTAAGTTCCTACCATCTAAGCTATGATGATTTTTGTTTCAAGTTCACTTAATTTTTAAACTATTTCATCATTAAAAAAAGTTTGTGTAAAGATTTCTTTTTATTTTTAAAAATATAATTGATAGTATTACAAGATGCATATCATGCAAATATATCATTTGAGTGTTTTTAAATATTAGACAACTTATTTGAAAAAAATAAAATTATGTCTACACTTATAAGGTTTTTAATATTGTTTTTTAAATACGTAAATTTTATTTTTTAACTTAGTAAAATAACTCAAGTGTATTAATATAATTTTAGTCAAATACTATAAATTACTTTCTTTAGTTATTTATAAATGAAGAAGTGCGTGTGTCTAAAATATTGAAGCAATTGATTCTAATATAAACTTCATATCAGAAAACTATTCGATCACTTATTTAAATATTTTTTAAAAAAATTGTGTAAATTATAAAAAAATAAATATCACATCTTCTTTTATAATTTTTTATTTGTTTAAATACACATTTGTTTCAATTTAATGCTACTGCTCAAATAATTAAATTGCTTATAAAGTTAGTAATACATCATAAATTCTTTATTTATAGATAAAGGAAATATCATTTCATTAAATATTATTTTTTATGTATGTATGTGTGTGTGTGTGTGTGTGTGTGTGTGTATATATATATATATATATAAAATTTTCAAATGTGCGTGAACCACTGGTTCGACCACTTGAAACACCGGTCCGACCAGTGAACCAGTAAACCAGTACCTTGACCGGTTCGGTCTCTGGTCCGGTTCTAAAAACTATGCGTAGAAGTCATTAATGGTGGAGCTATAAGCTCAATGAAGAAGAAGAAAATCTACAATCTAGAGAGAGATAAATATGCAGGGGAGAGTGATGAGAGGAGTCTCACAAAAATGAAGGTAACCCCTTCTTTTATAAAAGGAGGAGAGGATCTTCGGAGGAATATTCTCTTATTTTTTCATTTTACTAAACAGGCCCGGTTTGGTTATTCTTTGTAAATAATTGGAAATGTGAGCCGAGCCACGTATTATTTCCCATCAGAAGAATCTAGAAGAACTGGAAGAAAGTAGAAGAATTGGAAGAAACTGGAAACAATTAGAAAAAATGGGAGAACTTAAAAAAACTTTTTTGTGTATTTTTATATAATTCTCATTCTAATTCTTGTTCTTTTAAATTATTATTTTTTTTGTTGTTGTTTTTGTTATTGACATCATGTTATCTTAATGAATGCTTTTAAGATAAAAATAATATTATTATTTTTCATACACAAAAAGCTACTTTCGCAAAAAAATAATTAAAATATAAAATTAGCAGAAATATCAAAATGTTAAATATTTAAAAGTTATTTTGGCTACGTAGCACGGCACTTTATTTATGCAGTATTTATCATAAAATAATATATTTGTAATTATACTTTATATATTACAGAATTTTGTTTCAAATATCAGCATGTCATATAATATAATTAAACTTATTTTTTCCTTTAATGATTCAAATTTTATTTTCACTGTAGCCCTACTTTTGGAATAAAGATATAGAATTTTTTTAATACATTTTTTATGTTTTACTCCTACTTGAGTCATTTTCTCTAAATATTGTTTTTTTCTTATATAAATTTAGATTGAAAAAACATTCTATATAACTATTTTATCCATAATTTTTTAAATAGTGTAAAGTATTTATAAAAAATAGAAAAATGAAAAGAAAAATTAATTTTTAAAATATTGATTTTTTTATTATATAAATTTAGATTAAAAATACATTCTATATAACTATTTTATCTATATTTTTTTAAATGTTTAAAATATTGACATTTTTCTGTTTTATTATGAAAATTAATATACAAAAAATGGTTCTATTCATATTAAGAAGTTGAAGAAATAATAATAATTAGTGTGAATTATAAAAATAGTGAGATTAGAAAAATGAAATAATCTAGCAAAAAGGAACTGGAAGAAGTAGTCCGCCGCTCTACCAAAATTAATGTTCGAGTAATTATTTATCAAAGTTCAATGTCCAACATAAAAAACGAAAAAGTTCCGACCTGCCGGATTCGAACCAGCGACCTAAGGATTACCTGCTTCGACTACAGTCCTCCGCTCTACCAACTGAGCTAAGGTCGGTTACGATCATTATTTCCAACACCATGTTATATAGTATCTTTTCCTATGATAATACATTCCTTCCAACATTCTTTCTCAATCCTAATGATAAATAACACCAGTATTTTTGGTGGTTTGCAAGACAAGCATCAATAATCCTTCTGTTTTCAAAACTTATTTCTAAACTTCCTATGGTTTCAAAATGTTACACCTGTGCCCCCTCTATTCATTTTCCGGCCATTTTCCCGGTAAAGAAAGGGAGCATTGGTGCATATTTTTTAAACCATAGGGGTATCAGTGCTGATTTTTATTTCTTGCTTATTTTTTTCCCATTTTTCTCTTTTTTTTTCATTTATTAATAAAGTTTTTTTAAAAATTATTTTTATAATGTTCTTAAAATTTAAAGTTATTTTTGTTTAAAAAAATTAATATATAATGCATATGTATGTCTCAAATTAACAATTTTTGTTTTTTCTGAAAAACGAAAGTAAATTTTTCTGAGAACTTCAAAAAATGAGGAATAAAATAATAAACATAATAATACAAAATTAAAAATGAATATCCTTTTTGGACATCTCAATTCTAAGGACTTTTTTATGTGTGTTCAAATTTTTTGTGTCAAAGACTTTTTTTGCGTATTTTAAATTTTTCATTTTGTTTTTCCATATTTTTATTTTTTTGCTTTGGGGTTTTTTTAACTTTCAAAAAAAAATACTCTAAGTAACAAAAATGAAAATGCTTAATTTGTGAAAGATGTAATGTACCTTAATTTTTTTATGTTTATTCCAGACACAAAGGATTTTAAAATTTTTAAAACATTATAAAAAATTGAAAATATATTTATAAAAAATTCTAGGAAAAAGAAAAAGAGATAGAAAATATTTTTTTAAAAAAAGGGAAACACAAATAATAAACAAAAATAAGAAATGAGCATGAATGCCCCCTATGATTTATAAATTATGCGCCAATGCCACCTCTTCTCCGGAAAATGACCGAAAAATGATCAGAGAGTGTGTGGGTGCAATGTTTTGAAATCATGAGAACTTTAGAAATAAGTTTTGTAAACAAAGGGAGTATGGTACCAATTTTCCAAACTACAAGGGACATCAAAGCTATTTGGCCTAAGTTTTAATACATTTGTGATAATCGGCCTATTACATTGTTTGGATCAAGAGAAAATAAAAAGAAAAGAATGGGAATGAAAAAAATAAAAAGAAATAAAAAAGAAAATATATGTTTGGATGGATAAAAAAGGAAGCAAAAAGTAAAAAAGGAAGAAAATGTGATATTGCAAAATTCAATTTTTATCCTTGTTTTTTGCAAAACGTAATTTAATACATTTTCTCTCTTACGTTTCCCTTTTCTACTCTATTTAGGAAAGGATTTTAAGCTTCACGATGATACCCTATAATTTAGGATGATACCCTATAATTTAGGAGTCATGCTTGAATAACTCAATAACATCAACTTAGGGCACTAGAAATACGTTTGAAGCCCCGGGGCTTCAAAACGGGGCTTCAAACTTTCTCTCTTTGCTACATTAGCTTTAACTTACACCCAAAATTCACTGGAAATGGGTTTGAAACCCTGAGGCTTCAAACCTTCATTTTTTACATTTTTAAATATAAATCTTCTAAAATTATATTAATAAAATTTAATTAATTTATTATTTAATTATATTGAAACACGAATAATAAAAAATACATTCATTAAATAAAAAAAAGCGACAATAATTAAAAAAAGTTTCATTAATAAAAAAACTAAGGTAAATTATATTTCTCCTTGATCTCTCTTATTCTTTGCTCGTATATCATTCATCTAATCTCTGACAACGTCCTGGGGTCGGTTTACATGACTTTCATCTCGGCCTCCTGCTCCTTTAGCTTCAACTCCTTTTCCATTAGCTTCAACCTCTCTAATTCTCGGAGATTGAACGTCCGAAGTTGTTCAACCATTTCCCGGCCGATTTCGTTGCGGGAAGAAGCAGATACAGAGGCGGACCCTCCCGAACCAGACGCAATGGATTTTTTCTTCTTTCTTCCGATCGACCGTGGAATGGGGTCCTCGTCATCGGAATCCTCAATGTTGAAGGGGGGGATTTGATCGGTTGAACCGAGAGTCTCGTCAACCTCAATCTTGGCGTCGACGGTGGATCTTTTCCGGAACGATCCGCCGTCGGGATTGTTGAGTTGTTGCCACTTCGGGGAACAGCTCAAAATCCTCCAAAGATTGATGGGCACCTTGCCTTGGTGCCCGTCGTCTTGATACCGAGTCGTGGCAAGCCGGAGAACATCGGCGTCGTTCGTCCGTTTCTCCGGGACCGGGAGCATTATTCGTAAACTCAGATAAACTTTCAGACTTTACGGTTGATGTGGCTCCATTTGGAAGTGAGTTGGTCCCGGATTCGGTAGGAGCCGTCCTTGTTCATCGCCGTGAAGACTTCTCCTCGATACGATCCCACATCGCATCCTTCAATTGCTCCGAACTTTTAAAAATGTATTACACAATTTTTTTAGACACCATTAAATATAATATATATAAATAAAAACATAAATATATTAGAAAAAATAAATATTTTACCAATGAAAGGATGCTCGGAGACGTCAACCCAAGCCGACGCCAATATGCACTCCTCCTCCGGCGTCCACTTTTGGATTGATCGTGCCGCCTCGATCATCGTGCTTTTAGCTTTGTGGCTTTTCCGGCGTATACTTTTTTTCGATCCAGACGGTTCCGATTGAGTCTCCGGAACCGAATCTCGGTCAACGTACCCCGATTGTTGCATCTCGTAAATCGGCGGTCGATCGCCCCACTGTTGGTACAACCACATCGCGGAGTCGCTCGGCGGGAGATCGTCGGAAAGAAGCCAGAGCCGGAAGGATTCATGTTAAAAAGAGAGGGGGTGATTTCGAATTTTAAAAATTGGGAAGAAGAAGAGATTCAAGATGGAGAAGGTGTGAGAAATTGGGAGGGGGAAGGTTTGAATTTATAAGAATTTTTTTGGGGGGTCTAACGGCTATAATAGCCGTTAAGGGGAGAGGAATTACGCAGCGTCATTCGTTTGACGCACGCCTCTTCACGCCCCGTTAACGCCGGCGGGGGCGGTGTTTAACGCCCCCGGGGCGTTAAACGCCCCGTAACGCCGGTGGGCGTGAGAGGTATACCCACTGCTCTTAGACAACATGTATGACGACCATCTCTAGATTTAGAGCACTGGAAATAATTTTGAAGTCCTGGGCTTCAAACTGGAGCTTCAAATTTTTTTTCTCTGCCACATCAAGTTTAACTTACTTCACTAATTCACTGGAAAATGGGTTTGAAGCCCCGGGGCTTTAAACTGGGCTTCAAACTTTCATTTTTTATATTTTAAACGCACATCTTCTAAAATTAGATTAATAAAATTTAATTATTTAATTTTATTCATTAAAAAAATTTATGAACAACAAATACATTCATTAATTTAAAAAAATTGCATTCATTAAATAAAAAAATTACATTTATTAATAAAAAAAATTATATTCATTAAATAAAAAAGTACACGGTGCGATAACGGGAAAGGGGGGCGGGGGGCTCCAACGACAAAATTTTGGCCTACAATTTGCGTCAAAATTTTGACACTGCAAAAATAACGCTGCTATCACGGGAAAGGGGAGCGGTGTTTAAAGCCCCTGGCGTCAAAAGCATCATAACGCCGCTCGGCGTTAGAGGTATTACCACTGGCCTTACATCAAAAGATATAAACCATTTATGAACACTAGTGGTGAGCGTGGTACGGTATAGTACATTATTTAGCTCGTACCGATATCGTACCAAATATTTCAGTTCGGTATGGGATTTTACGTTGGACCGATCCCGATACTGAAGCATAAGTTCGGTATGGTTCGGTATCGGTTTCGATATGAATCGGGATGAATATATACGTACCTAGTTTACATCATAAGATTTAACAAAACCTTTTATTTTTGAAAAATCGAATGTACATTTAACCAAAGAAATATAAAAATTTAAAAATGAAAAAATGAAATGCAAGAATTACTTATGAAAGTTAGTTTATATTTCACATATTAAAGAGAACAAGTGATAACAAAGTATTATTTCAAATATTCTTCTACTCATCTATAAAAAATAAAAAAACTCTTATTAAAGTACAACTTAAACATAATGAAAATAAATTAAATTGTCTATATAATTTTTTTATTTAATGAAGAAATATGAAAAGATTATTATTTTATAATATATTAGTATATATGTTCGGTTCGGAAATTTTGGTATGAGAAGTAACCTCGTACCGTTCCCAAATTCTGGACCGACCGTTCTGTTCGGTATGGTTCAGGTTTCTTTTTGATACTTTATCGGTACAATATTTTTCAGTTTGGTATTCTCAATTTTTTTAAAAAATATCGGGATTAGTCTGATCCATACTCACCCCTAGTGAACACACAAAGTTCGCAGACAATTATACTGCCGGGTATCATATGTGAAAAAATTATCAACAATTGGCACTGTTAGAATATGAATAAGGCCCCGTTTGGTACACGGAATTCAAACAATGGAATTGGAATTGAGGACTTGAATTCCAATTCTCGTGTTTGGTAGCACAAAAATTATGTGAATTCGGAATTGGTAGTGCAAAAAATGAATTGGAATTGGTGAATTCAATTCAATAGAATTGAATCTCATGAAATTTTAATTCCAATTCAATTCCAATTCCATCAATTCCGTGTACCAAACAGACCCTAAATGTTCTTGGACCACAACCACAAGCTTGAGCTTTTGGTTGAGTTGGTTCTTTGACATGGTATCGGAGCCTCGTTGACTAAGAGGTCACGAGTTTGAAACTCAGCGCCATACAATTTTAAAAAATTAAGATTTCACGTGCAAGGCTCGAAAAAGTATACACGAACCTCATCGGTCCCTCAGGCGGAGTATCATATATGAAGAGGCCTTTCATTTTTTATTTATTTTTGTTTAAGGACAACCTATTTCAATACGGAATTACCAAATATGAAAGTATACTAGTCACAGTTGTTGACTTTGATAGACTCCATATAAGGGGATTGATTGAATTGAAGATCTTAGCTCAATAGAGACAGAGAGTGTGTATTCATGGCGGAAAACAAACCAGCCAGCCGTCGTTTTCGTGTTCTGATGCTTCCATGGTTAGCTCATGGCCATGTCGTCCCCTACCTCGAGCTAGCAAAAGAGCTCCACCACCGCAACTTCGTCGTCCATTTCTCTTCCACCCCGGCGGTTCTCGCTTCTCTCCAGTCCGCCCCCAACTCATCTGCCTTCCTCTCCCAAATCCACACCGTCCCAATCCACCTCCCCGCCGCCGCCGACCTCCCTCCCTCCCGGCACACCACCAAAGATCTCCCCCGCCACCAGATCTTCGCCCTCTGCAAGGCCTTCAGAATGTCCGCCCCCGCCCTCTCCCTCATCCTTGACGAAATCGAACCCGACCTGCTCGTCTACGACCTCTTCCAGCCATGGGCGGCGGAGGCCGCCGCGTCCCGTGGAATCCCCGCCGTGTGCTTCTGCATCACCGGGGCAGCCTCCATTGCCTTCACCCACCACCTGCTCCTCCGCGGATCGACGGCCGGATTCCCCTTTCCGGCGGTCTTCATGACGCCGAACGAGCTAAGGGCACTCAGGGAGAACACGGGAAGCATTGACCCGGAAGACAGAGTCGCAATTCTCAAGTCATTGGAGCTGTCAAACGACGCCGTTTTGACCAACACCAGCCGCGAAATCGAGGGGAAGTACATCGACCACCTCTCCGCCGTCCTCGGCAAATCCGCCGTTCCCACCGGCTCACTCGTCCGCGTCCCGGGGAAAAACGGCGGGGAAGAGAAAGCCGAGGATCACGAAATCCTCCGGTTTCTCGACGGAAAGCAAAGGCAATCAACGGTGTACATCTCATTCGGGAGCGAATACTACCTGTCAGAAACCGAGATTCATGAAGTGGCTAAGGGATTGGAGCTCAGCGGCGCCAATTTCGTATGGGTCGTTAGGTTTCCGGCGGGGAAGGAGGCGAAAATCGAGGATTCGGTGCCGGAGGGGTTTCTGGACAGGGTAAAGGGGCGAGGGGTAATATTGGAAAAGTGGGCACCTCAGATCCAGATTCTGGGGCACCAGAGCGTGGGAGGATTCGTGATGCAGTGCGGATGGAACTCCTTTCTGGAGAGCATTCACTTCGATGTCCCATTAATAGCCATCCCCATGCACTCCGAGCAGTTCATCACCGCCAGGATGGCGGCGGAGCTGGGGATCGCCACGGAGGTCATGAGGGACGACGACGGCCGGCTGCACGGAGAAGACATCGCCAAAGCGGTGAAGAGAGTTCTGGAGGAGAAGGAGGGGGAAGAGATGAGAGGGAAAGTGAAGGAATTGAATGCGGCTATGGCGATCAAAGGGAAACAGGGGATCGATGACACGGCGGCGCTGCTGTCTCGGCTGTGCTTGACTTCCGGCGGCGGTAAAGCATGAAGCACTATATCTATCTATCTATCCTCATTTGATTTTATTATCACCCAAGGAGTTGCATGGAAAAATAGGGAAGTCGTAAAACTTATCTTCATCTTCATTGTTGCACAATAAAAGAATTCTTGCCTCAGCTCTTTACTTGAATTCTTGCCTCACCTCTTTACTTTCGACCAAGGAAGAAGATTTGCCTACACACTCTTTAGTCTTTTCGACCCTACTTTCATGAGATCTAATTGGCTTGTTGTTGTTATTTTTTTAAGTGTATAGTCAATTTGTGAAGCTCACTAGCTAATATACAAATGCTATCATAATTAGGAATACTATTATTATTGTCTAACATTCTCCCTCAAGCTAAACACCATGAAACGAGAGAAAGCTTGGAAGCGAGAGCCTTGTACCGTGGAAAAGGCAGCGCCTTTCTACGTAAATCAACAAGCAGGGCAACAGAAGAAACATGTGAGAGTGTCATAGTTTCAGCAATTACTTCTTCTTGAACAAAGTGACAATTGGTGATAACATGCTTATTTCCTTGTGAAAAACACGATTCTTAGTCACACAAATAGCAAACAGATTATCACAAAACAACTGTGGAGGAGAAAGCCAGACCATCAAGACGTCAATAGATAAGTCGGCCACGTTACCTCAGATGCTGCAGAGGAGAGAGCACGGTACTCTGCCTTAGTAGATGATTTGGAGACATGACTCTACTTCTCCGTACTCCGGAAAATAAGATTAAGACCAAGGTAGACCAAGTACCTAGTATTAGAAAGGCCATTTGTCATATCATTCTCCAATCAGAGTAGGTCATTAGAGCCAGAGGACCCTGTCGAAAAACAAAATCTTCCTCAAGTGTGCCGTGAATATATCACAAAATCCGCTTAAAAATTAGAAATCTTGCTCAGTGAGCGCATGCATACGTTGTCAAACATAATTCGCATCAAACCAAATATCTGGTCTAATGTTTGTGAGACATTGAAGAGAACCAACAAGACTACGAAAAAAGTGGGATTTGCAAAAGGAGTGTTAGTGCCAGCATCAATCGGCCGAACAAGAATAGGAGTCGGTGACGACTTACAATCCTCGACGCTAGCCCAGTGGAGCAGCTCGCAAGCATATCAAGCATATTTTTCATGAGAGAGAACCAAGTAATCTGTCGTCCTTTTAACCTCAATCCCTAGAAGGAAGTGAAGGGGTTCGAGGTCTTTCATATATATGAAACTCATGTTGCATGGCCGTAATAAAGTTGTTAATGAGGGTAGAAGTGCTACCTGTGATAATGGTATCATCAAGATATAAAAGTAGTATAAGGATGCCCTGTGAGGTATGCATGACAAAGAAACTATTGTCATGCTCATCTTTTTCGAAAGCCATTGTTGGGTTATGGAACCCGGGGGCCTAGGAGACTAGGCGGAAGAGTATCGAATTAAGTCGAGAGTGCACAAATTTGAGGTCAAGTAAATTAAGAGTATTATTGTGCTTGTTAGAACGTCAGTCCCCCTTCCTTTTGAAGGGGTTAATATGCGAATTACAACATAGGGTTCCGACAGTTGGTCCAGAGTCCAACGGTCTGGGCCCACTAAGATTGGGTTGTTCACTAGCGGCGTCCAACCACATCATTATCCCTAGGATTGCTATACAAAGTAGGTTACAAATAGGGTGGCTAGAACAACTCTGCCAGAGGTATTGCAGGGGTCCAATCGTGGGCCCCTTGATCTTGACTCTTTAGCCAGCTTCCTTGTCTCGATCTGGTCTGCTGGCGCCCCGGGCCGAGGCCGAGAGCGTGCTCTATCTTCGAGAGTCCCCTGACGGAAGGCCGGCCGAGGGTGGTCCGAGAACGACCGACCCTGCCGAGGCCGAGTGTGAACTGCTTCCGGGATGGCCCTCCCAGGTCTTCAGTTGATTCTTGCTCTGGTTCAGCTAAGTGGGCCTTAGCAAGGTTGGGCTGGGCCGCTCTTCCGTTGGGCCGGATACCCCCATTCCCGGGTATCCATCAGCCATAATAAAAAACAAAGCCCGACAATCGCTTTTCTTGGGACTATGCTCTAAGAGCTTGTTTTAAACCATATAGTGATTTCTTCAACTGACACACATAATAAGGAAGTGTTGACTAATATAGCTAAGAGGCTACTCCATATAAATCCTTTGAGGGGCTTTACCATGACAAAAGGCATTAGAGACATCCAAGTGATGCAACAACCAATCATTGTTAACAGCCAAAGAAAGAATAATCGTAATAGTATGTTGTTTGAAAACAAGACTTAAAGTTTCAGAGTAGTCAAGACCATACTTGTGAGTGTATTCCTTGGCCAGTAAATATACATTGTACTTGAAAATAGATTTGTTTGCCATAAAACATCTCATGTGTTCTTATTTATCAAGGAAGAAAACTCCTCATCCATAAAGCATGACACAAAAAGGGAATTGTGCCAGCGGGTCATCATGAGGTGCCTCGGTGGGGGTGGTGGTGGGGTAGGTGTAACACCCCAACTCGCATAACCTGAACCAAGGAGTTAACGAATCAGATTGCTACTAAATTGATATTCACGACACAACAATTTATACAAAATATTCAAAAACATCCCGACACCTAATTAATTACGAAAAGTTTGGAGTAAATTAAAGTTCATCATGTGCGGAAGTCTTAAAATAACGTTCTAGAATAAATGTTTAAACAAAACAATTAATAAATGCATTAATTAAATATTCAAAACGGTAATGACGACGTCATCCATGGCGTCACGTGTCAATGTCCTCCAGGCCGGTCCTCCTGATCCAAATCCCTACCTGCATGCTATCAAAGACAACAAGATTATACGGTCAGCTGAAAGCTGAGTGAGAAAATACCTAACGCTAGAATTAATTTCACAGATAGTATCGCATTTATATAATCAACAACATGAGTGAACAATCAACATTTGTTTTCAGATTCAAGGATCCAATAGTTCCAATTCATGTATTCTCAATGGGCTATTTCTGACCCTCCTCTTGAGCGAAGCGCACTCCAAACGCAGGCTTCCAGATGGCAGCAGAACCTGTTTCATAACATCAAATTTAACTACTTTCTCCGGAAGCAGACGACCTGCCATGACCCAAGTTCGCACCACATCAAATTGACTCTCCGCAACAAGATTGGGCGCCAAGGAGATGCCTTCTTCGTCCTCCAATATATTCAATCGGGAGACTTTATTATTGATTTGCTGGAGCTCTGAATCATCCATGGAAGGAGGAGTGCAAGAAATCGAACAAAAAAATTACAAAGAGCCCTAGATGACTAGGGAGAAAACGCCGCAAAGAACCCTCGATGACTAGGGAGAAAAAGACTTGAGAGACGAAAATATAGTAAATGTTAGCTAGCTGAACTGATACCTTAAAGTTATGTTGAAATAGTAAAGTATGTTGAAATAGTTAAGTTACCTTATTGAAAGGGAATTGATATTTGAGCTCCACTATTTGATGGGGGCACTCCACCCTTGTAAGTGTTTTTGGTTTCCATTCTACATTGCTATACTTTGAGTCAATGACTACATTCCGCAATATTCTATAAATATTTATAAATGAATTTGTCTATTTTTTTAATAAAATAATCTTTTCCGTATATAATTACATATTATAAAAAGATAAAATGGAGCAACATACTATACTTTTTTATTGAGCAAGATTATCTTAAATTAACGATATAGCGTGATATATTCTTTTTTGCCTTTTTTGCTTGTTTAGTGATTAAATAAAAAGATTTTTTTCAATTAAATTAATATTCTCAATTGCACTACTTTTATGATGTGTATACTCAAAGTGTGTAAAAGAAATGAATGTATGAAATGATCACTGTATAACTCGTAAATATGTATGGCAAGAATAAAACGATACTGTAAATCCAAATTTAAGATATATGACATCTCAAAATTTTGATATGGTCAACTTTTTCCTTTATTTACATCGTCACGTTTTTCTCACTTTCTTCAACTATTTTGCTAAGTCTTTGATAAAATAATATATTAATGTTATTATTTGTTTCATAAAACATTTAATGTAGTTTTAAACATGTAATTTCATTTTTAATTTTACCCAATTCTTTTATATATTGAATTAAAAATAATAATTTCACAAGCCATATAATTAAAATGGGACGGGGGAGTATTAATTTTGGAAAATGAGTTAGTGACATAAAAAACTAAAAGAAGAAATGGGTCGGGGGAGTAGTATAAGAAAAAAATTAGTGCGACATAAAAAATTAAAAAGAGATAAAAATTAAAATAAATGAAGGGTAAATTGTTTTAATAAAAATATGAAATTTCACAAATATAATATTTATTTCCAAAACTTAAAATTTATCTCAACATTTTCAACTCATTGAAGTTTTTTCCAACTCTTTCAAATTTGAAAAAGATTAAAAGGGTGGAGCGCCGGAAGTAAATGATGGAGCGTATATATCAGACAAATATATTACTCTTATGTTTAGAATATTTTGTTACCCTGTTTATCTAGACTTTAACTCCTCCCCGTGTATGCATAAATACCCCGACATACCCGACATATTATGAATAAAGTACTCAATTTACAACATCAACTTCCTTATTGAAAAGTATGTTGTGTTATACTACCTGCGTTTATAAATTTCTTTTTCCAATTTTGAGTTATTTTCATACAATCATTCATAATCTTTTAATTTATAATTAAATAATGCGCGCGCACACACACATATATATATATTGTATATTAATTAGAAAAGATAATATTTAAAATCTTTTACATGATAAATCTAATAGAATTATTTTTTATACCAATATCTAATAGTACCATTTTTGTTCAATTCAAAACTAGAATTTACTAATTTTGGGCAAAAAAATCAAAAGTGACAAATAGTGACGCATGGAGTAGTACTCCTCCGTCCTATAATGATCTTTCCGGTTCGCAAAACGAAGAAAAATCTCAAGTTTTTTCAATCTATTTTATTTAAATATTGGTATAGAAATAAAAAATAAAACATACATATTTAAAAACTACACCAAAAGTTCAACAAAACAAGTGGTGACAAGAATATTTTATTTTATCATATAGACCCTGAAAAAACACAAATAAATATAAATTCCCGTGAAGTTGGAATAGTGCTCTGAGAAGATCATTATAGGACGGAGGGAGTAACGTTTTTTTTTTCTATTGCTCCCACTTAGATTTTGTCGCCAAGCACCCTAGAAATACTACGGAGTATATAATTGGTTAGATGTGCTCCTGACTCACTCCCTCTATAGTCTATACTCCGTGTTTTCTTTGGGTAGCCCTAGCGGCGAGGGAGCGACTCAAGTTTCTCTATCTCCCCTAGGGATTTCAGGACCGTAATCTCTCTCCACCTGAAGGTATGGTTTCCAATTCTCTACTCTTCCTATTTCGTTTTCATTTTGGATTTTGATGCCTTTCGTTCCCTGTGGATTTCCATTTCTTTTCTGGTTGAATTCTTGGACTTCAATTTTCTTTCGATCATTTACAGATTGACGCCAAAGAGATCTCATTTGTTGAAACATACTCCGTATTAGTTGTGATTTACTGATCTGAGTGAGATCTAATTTTATGTTGATTAAGCTTTAGATGTTCCATTTTGTGTGTTCCTATTGAGATTCATATCCTCTATGAAGTTCAAATTTTGTGGTGTGGTGAAATGTAAACAGCTTTTTTTCTTGTTGATCAATGAAATATTTAACTTCTGGGTAGAGTGATAGGTTTTACCTACAACTCGTTTTCTAGAGAAATAAGTTTTACAATTTGAGTTTACCAAGTTAAGAAAATGTTGAAAATTAAAAAGTGCGATTGATATTTATTTTAAAGAGATGGATATTGTAAGTCCTATATTTGTTTATTTAATAAATAATAGGTAAGTAAGAACATGTAAATTTTACTTTGGAACATTTTGGACAGGAAAACGTATACATATTTAGAGATGGAGAGGATACTGTACAATAGAAATTTCTGGTTAGCTGTAGTGAGCGATAGTACTTCCTTTCTTGTGATTCTGTTTTCAGTAGAACGTCCAGATGGTATGATTTCCTTTGTCATTTCTTTCGATTTTGCTTTGGTAGGATTTCGACGCCTTTGATTCTATCTCTGTTCATTTGGATTCTGTTATTCATATTTGTATATCTTACACTCCTTGATAGATAGATATAGATTTCTTTCTATTTCATTTTTGGTTTAATATTTTTATTTCAATTGTCGGTAGATTGTAAAATATTGACACTAAAGAGAGTCTACTTCATGAAATGTACTCCCTATTAGTTTTTATTTGCTGATCTATGTGGGATCTATTACTACCAGGATTAAGATTAAGAGATGCCATTTTTGTTCCTCTTAAGAGCCATCTCCTCTATAAGTTGCATTGTTTTGAGCTTTCAGAAACACATTTTAATAGGAAGATAGAGGCACATCACTACATTATGGATGATGAATTGTTGAGATACACTTCTTCCTTCCCTTTTTATCTTTAGGGTTGGCTTCCGTGATTTGAATAAGGTAGAAACAGTGTAGTTGAAATTTATCTAGAGGAGAGAAACATTGTTCATCTTAGAGTGCTGTTTTAATTAAGTTATCTTAATTATCTTACTTTTTCCAAAACTTAAGCATTTTTAAATTCCTTATATTGATTTATATATCTAAATATTACTTCAGGGTTTATAATAAAATGATTTTATAGATTTAATACATTTTTTTATATTTTCAATTTATTTAATAGAAAATGTAAGTCTTAATGTGAATTTAAGAATTTAAAAAACCAAAGTCATAACCCGTTGGGTCGACCCGAAACCGATGACATTGGGTCATGAACATATAGTTCTCAACCCAAACTCAAATTGACCCGAACCTGAAATAACCCAAACTTGAAGTGACCGATGCCGAACCTGACCTGACCGACCGATTTGCCAGCTCTAACTTCAGATAAACATCAAATTTGACCAAAATTTTGCAAATGTTTGCGCCCAAAATGTCAGGCTTGGGCGAATGTGTGCGTCTGTCCTTGCCTCGCGGAACATGATCGACGATTCTTCGTCTCCATAAATAGAGATCCTTGGGTATGGTTGAGAAATGAATTTGATGGCTTATTCTTGATTAACGTCTTATTCGATTTAAGTATTTTTGTATACCCCGAAATAACTTTGATTTGAAAGCGTATTCGCGATTCGTTAAACTATCAAGTTGTAATTATTATTCTTCATTTCATAAAATCTTCAACGTTGCTTCGCAGCGTTCATCCTCCTAAGTTTCCAACACGGCCTTGAATGGAAGTCACGCAATGATTCTTCAAAAAATTTATGGACGAGACTTTAAAAACCAAGTTTAACAATTACCATCAAATTGGTTTAGGACACTTTCATAAAAGCACAAATCATAAATTAGTGTTTTCAGTCCAATCAGGTTTTGAAATATTGGCACTTAGGGTGTCACAACAAAGGTTATAGTGCTCTTCTCAGATGGATGATAGCCATCATTTCCTTTCATTGTTACTCTCAGATCAGAAATGTTTTGGAAACCTTTAGTCTGCCTATAAATTGGTTATGTTATTGAACTTAAGCATTAGTCCATAGTTCCGCTAGTATGTTTACTTCACTTCAATGGTTTGGGTCCTTTATTTGTCTTACCAAGGGTCTCTAAAATGATTAGAATGAGTGTATCCTGTTGATGTATTTTCAGGTGATCATGTCGACGACAAGACTTCCATCCGCTTGCATGTTCACAATGGCCCCTCCGAAATCCATCGCCCAACCGAAAATTGCATTCTTTAAGAACCCGTCATCCCCGGGTTCTGTAGAGAGGAGGACATCAATATCGTTTGGTGGCTTGAAAGTTGACCGTTTCAGAGCAAACAGCTACAAGATCAAGCTGGTTGGTCCAGATGGGCAAGTGAATGAGTTCAAAGCACCTGCTGATACTTACATCCTGGATGCAGCCGAGGAAGCGGGAGTCGACCTGCCCTATTCTTGCCGGGCAGGTGCGTGCTCCACGTGTGCGGGCAAGATTGTGTCCGGGTCGGTTGATCAGTCCGATGGATCTTTCCTTGATGACAACCAAATGAAAGAGGGATACGTGTTGACTTGCGTTGCCTACCCGACTTCGGATTGTGAGATTCACACCCACAAGGAGAGTGATCTGTACTAGGTATAATTACATTATGCTATTCGACTCGAACTATTGTGGTCCGGTTCTGGTTTGATTCGGTCATTCGTTGTTCTTTCAACATGGTCTATTTCGAGTGACTTTCTGCAATGCTGCCCATTAAAATCCCATACTTTTTCAGTACTAAAACTGCTCTTCTTGTAGCATAATTGTCTTCATGGTTTCATTGCTTGTGGGAATAAATAGAGCTTCAAAATGAATATACTTTTGTTCATCTCCCTATATGGAGCAGTGATTTAGTTTCTTTCTTCCCTTTTTCTGTTTGTTATTGTTTTGATCCGCCAGTAAATCTGCAAATCAAATGTATTGACAACTTATTAATGCCGAACAAACAAAATGGATCTTCTCTGGTGGGTGTATTCAACAGAGATTCTTAAAGATTGTTTTTACTTTGAAAAGTCGATGGATTTAGAAGATTCATAGACTTCATGTAGAGTTGGACAGATTTTTTTACAGATTTACAGATTTTCAGGATGACTTTTTATTGATTTGGAGGGACGTGAAGTTGTTCTCGTTGAAGGAGAAGGAAACTTTATACCCCAGCCATTTCAGAAATTGAATACCAAATTTCCAGCCAAGCCAATTTAGAAACAAGAAAAAGAAACAAACTTTATAACCCCTGCCAAGCCAATTGAATACCAAATTTCCATCTTTCATACAAAAAACAAATCCAAAAAACAAAAATAAAAAAGAAACAAGAAGAAACAAACCTGGATTATTAAGATTCGTGGATTATTGAATACCTTAAGACTTTTTAAAATCTTTATTGAATACTTTAAAATTTTTAAAGATTTTTAAAAATCCAGGTTGAATATCTCAAGATTTTTTTAAGACTTAAAAATCTAGATTGAATACATTCAGATTTTAAAAGTCCAAAAAAAATTATACAAGCTCCTAATTGAATATACCCCCTAAAAAGTGAATAAATTTGAGAAATATGTATATCTATATTCACTTAATTTTCAACACACATAGTTTTAATAAGAGGAGTTTATTTAAATAGAACTAAAATATAAAGAATTTTTTAATATATTACTATATGTTTTATTTTTTTTAATGTAAGACCATTAGTTATTATCTATTAGTCATTATTCAAGTAAATGTCTATCATCATTGGACATTATTACGTACTCTCATTAGACATTATTAACTACCTCCCTCCGTCCCCCATAGATCTTCTCAATAGCCCTTTTTCTTTGTCCACAATAGATCTTCTCATTTCATTTTTTAACAATTAAAATACCACAACTACCCTCACTTACTTTATTTATTACACCTCACCCACCTCATTTAATACACTCCACCCATTTTAATTAAGGGTATTATGGTAAACTTTCACCTTTTTTCAACTCTTCTTAAAAACCATCAAAAGTCAAAATGAGAACATCTTAGGGGGGGACGGAGGAAGTACTATTTAGAGAATAAAAAGTATACGTCTTACATTGCAAAATGATTTATGTTTTAGTCTTATTTAGTACAAATTTCATTTTTAATAATCCACGGGAAGAAAATTAATGTAGCAAACAACAATAAAAACTTCATTACAACAAGAGTAATGCTAAAGTTTTATCCCCATTTTTGTTGATCAAAAGTCAAAACAAGAGTATTATTGCCATTTCGGTTTATCAAAGAGAATTTTTTCTTTTTTGGTAGTGTTTACTTTTCAAAAAAAGTGTTCTCCTTTTCGTTTGTGTCAACATTTAACCGGCATGAAAAAAGAAAAAGCAAAATAGAATTAAGGAATAAGAATAAAGGTTATTTCGCTTGCCCCTTGCCTGCCCCAACCAAAAAAAAATGTTGAAAATAAGGAAAAAGAATGGAGAACTGGATATTAACTCGAATAAGCTCCTCTTACATTTATTAAATATTTAATGGAAAATTATCTAAAGAACACTCACAATTGACCATTTACTTTGTTCGTAATAAACCAACCTATAATAGAGTGCGTGTGTGAGTTTTGAGTCCTCTTTTAAGCATGTTTAGCGGTGGAGTCCCTAGACCCATTTTGTGTGGGATCAATATGAACCACTAATACACAAAGTGGGACTTTTTAAAAAAATGGGACTCTCATGTACGTAGTATATTCCTCTGTTCAAAAATTATCTTTCCGTTGCGCGTTATGATATTTGAATGAAGTTATTTTTAAAACAATTTATATAAAAAATTGTGTGATATTTAAAAATAAAAAGTATATGCTAAAAAACTACGTCAAAAGATCGACAAAACAAGAGATGACATTAGCATATTATTTTATCAAATGCATAACGAAAATAGGCGAACAAGGTGAATAAAATTTTACAATGTGAATAATAAATGGGAAGATAATTTTTAGACATTGGAAGTAGTTAGTAGAAGTTTTAAATGGGAACGGATGTAATGACATTGAAGCTCCATTTGGTTTACGAAATTTAAACTACGGAATTGGAATCCGACACTAAATTCCAAATTTGTTACTCCGTATTTGGTAACACAAAAATATGTGTGTTGGAATTTCCGAATTGGTAATGCCAAAAATGAATTGAAATTTTAAAAATATTATTCAACGATAAATTTAAACATTATCGAAATCAATTTTCACACTAGGAGTATTATAAAATATTAAAATATACTCACTCCGTCCGGAAATATTTTTCCCATTTTCTTTTTTGATCCGTCCGGAAATATTTTTCACATTTCCTTTTTTAGTATACTTTTAAGGCTATATATCAACAATATCCTTCTATTTTATCACAAATCTACTTTTTTAGTACTTTTTTAATAATAAAAGGAGATTTAAAAATGTATAGTATGTGCATTTTTGAAAATTTTACATTTTTTTTACTATTCCTTAATAAGCGTGCCAAGTCAACACGGGAAGAACATTTCCGGACGGAGGCAGTAGTATCATTAATCACTAATACTCTTTTCAAACAAAACCAAAATGGTCAAACACAGAATACAATAATAGATCATTATTACTTTCACACGCAAACAGATTTGTCTAGTGATAAATGTAAAACCATGACTGTCAAATAAAGTACGGAGTAATAAATATAGTTAAATACAGAATTTATTTTAATTTACAGAAATTTGCATAGTTTTGAATTAAAAAACACGAGTATTATATTTATTTAAATACTCTTTTGAAGCATTCTCATTTCTTAAAAACACACGAGTATTTTAAGATATTCAAACACTAACATTAATCACAAATAATCTTCTCAAACAAAATGAAAATGGCCAAAAACAAGCTGCAATAATAGACCCTTATCACATTCACGCGCAAACAAATTTGTTTAGTGATAAATGGAAAACCATGACTGCACAATAAGACAATAAATTCTATTTCATAAAAAAAAAGACAACAAAATGAATAATTCATAATTCGCAATTCAATTTTTTAAGAAATAAAGAATATGAGCCACATATTATATCTTTGAATTAAATAAAGGAGAAATGAAGAGTTAATTTTGATATCAATATAAAAAAGAAATTGTGAAGTTTATGTTGGAATTAATAAAAAAAGAAAACACTCCTTCCGTTGAGTAGACAAAACCTAAAATAATGAAATTAAATTGGATACCATTTATACTCTTTGGATAATTTAGTAAATGAAACTTAATTGAACTTGGTGAAATTGTCTGTCTTTAAAAAAAGTTATTGACCCTTATTAAGTTATTCAAAGATATTGTAACAACGTCCAAAATAGTTTTATTATTTTAGACGTGCTGCTAACTCGTTATTTCAAATGTCATATTAGCCAAAATACTTCCACGTAATTATATGTGAAGCTGATTGAGTCGGGTGGAGTAGCAATGTGAAATTAGGTAATTTTAGCATATTACCGTACAAAAGAGAATTTGAAAGCAATATTATACTCCCTCTGTTCTTATAAACTATCCCCATTTTTAATAGAAAATAAAAGTGATTTAAGGAATTAGAAAAAAAATGAAAGGGAAAAAGTTTTAAATGGAACAGAGGAAGTATAATCGATCATAAAAGTATTGAATGTGATTTTTGTTACAGAGGGAGAGAATATATATTTTATTTTGGACCGACTTTACACTAATTAAATGCATCTAAGTGGTTGAAAAAAACACTATGCCGGCGTCTTAGGGTATATATACGCATGATTGACGAATCGATGCTCTAAGATCGTTAGAGTTGTCCGTCCGTCCGTCCGTCCGTCTGTCAATGGCGATCGCAGCTTCTTCTCTCTCGGGGCCTCTGCTACTCCTTCTCTTCTCTCTCGTTATATCTGGTACCTCTCCTTCTTTATTTCCTCTGTCAAATTAAACATCTCTTTTTTTTTAAGTTTAATCCAAACATAACACCTCTTTTCTGGATTTTTAGCAATTAGTTTTTGAACTTTTATAGTTGGCTCTGTGTGGGTTCCTTGTACACAAATTTGAATGCTTAAAACCCATCCAGTCAGAGTTCTATTTTGTTCATCTTCATCCTTTTTCTGGGTTGGGATTCATGGAATGGGCATTCATTATACACCTCTAACCATCAACTAAGTTACTTGGTTTTTTTTCCTTTTTTTTTTGGCAAAAGATTCATCTTTTATTCTTGATTCTATTGATGAAGTTCTTGATATTTCATTAATTTAATCATCCCCCAATTAAATCCTCTCCCATATTTCTTTCCTCATGTTTGTTCCAGTTAATTAATGCTAAATCTCCTGCCTAATTATTAATTAAGCACTGCTCTAAATAAAGTTGGGGATTCGTTAAATTCTTTGTGGAAACAGATTTGTTTACCGGGAGCCACGCCGGAATAGGCATCGGAATCAACTACGGTCAAATAGCCGATAATCTGCCGCCACATTCCAGCGTGGTGACGCTCCTCCAGTCTCTGAACATCAAGAGAGTGAAGCTCTACGACGCCGACCCAGACGTGCTCGAAGCCTTTTCAGGTTCCGATGTGGAGTTTGTTGTCGGGCTCGGGAACGAATCCCTTCAGAAGATGACCGACCCGGACCAAGCCCGGGCTTGGATTCAGCAGAACATTCAGCCCCACGTCGGGAAGACAAAGATCACTTGCATTGCCGTCGGGAACGAGGTCGTGACGGGGACTGACCTTCAGGCGAGGTCGTCTCTTCTCCCGGCGATGAAATCCGTCCGCAATGCTCTCGTTAGTTTGGGGCTGGAGAAGGAGATCAGCGTGAACACGGCTCACGCCTACTCCGCCATGGCCGTCTCCTTCCCGCCGTCCGCCGGCGCGTTCAAGCCGGATCTCGTGGAAACCATCCGCGGAATCCTCGATTTCAACGCGGAAACAAAGGCGCCCTTCCTCGTCAACGCGTACCCCTACTTCGCGTA